AGTGAATTGTGAAGTAAAATTGAGAAAGAGAAGAGATCATTATGTTGTCACCCTTGCCGGGCTATTGTTAATTTAATTATTGTTCCCTTGCCGGAATTTAATTGTTTAAATGTTGTTCCCTTGTCGGGATCTCTATTACTATTTTATTTATTCCCTTACCCCTTTGCTTGTGATTACTTTTTGGGTGAGGAAGAGTGTTAAAGCACGAAGGGTGATGCTGTACCGCACGACGTACCATTCTGTGTCGATTCTATTGATTATATGGTGAGGAAACAGAGTAAAAGCACGAAGGGTGATGCCGTGCACATTTTGATTATATGATTGTTTTGGTGAGGTCGAGAGTAAAAACACGAAGAGTGATGCCGTGCACATTTTAATTATATAACTGCTTTGGTGAGGCTGAGAGTAAAAACACGAAGGGTGATGCCGTGCAATTGTTGATTTCTGCTTCCTTATTGATATTTTAGTTATGTTGTTTCTTTCCTTACTTGATGCCTTTCTATTCGGAATTATTATCTTCCTCACAGCATGTTCCCCCTCCCACATTGACTGGTTATTTTTGTATTTCTTTTCCGTTGCATATATATATATATATATATGAACTACACAGGTTTATGTGGTGATCTGGTCCTAGCCTCGTCACTACTTCGCCGAGGTTAGGATAGACACTTACCAGCACATGGGGTTGGTTGTACTGATACTACACTCTGCACTGTGTGCAGATCCAGGAGCTGCTTTCGGACAGTAGTTGGAGTGCTTCCTTCAGTCCACCCGGAGATCCAAGGTAGACCTGCAGGCGTCCGCAGGCCCTGGCGTATCCCTCTATCTCTATTTCCTGTTTCATTTCCTTTGTTCAGAGACAGTGTATTGTATTTCTTCAGACCTTGTATGTAGTGACTCTTAGACAGTCTATGACACGGTGACACCATGTTTTGGATATTTGAAGTTTTAAAAGTTGTAATAGACGTAGCCTTAAGGTACATAATTGTTGACTTCCGCTTATTTATTTAAAAATTCCGCTTTTATTATATTATCAACTTGTGTTTGTTAAAAAGAAGCAAAAAAATGAAAGTGTAGCAAGTAGTTAAGGTTTGGCTTGCCTAACTCCCATTAGTAGGCGTCATCACGACTCATGAGGGTGGGAAATCCGAATCGTGATATTAAAATCGTACCTAATTAATTATTTCTTTTTTTTTCATTTTTAATGTGCTGACAAACATAATACACCATATACAAGTTGAAGAAGGTTATAATAAACTTGAAGAATCTAAGATATTCCCGAATTTGTTTTTCTTTTTTTTTCCTTTTAATAATAAATTTGAAAAAAGGTATCTTTTCTTTGTAATGTATTACTTGGAAGTACTGTCATTGAGGACCCTTCATGTTTAAACTATCTTCTTGTCTTCTCTGTCACACCTAACATTATTTTAATTGGGATATCATTTCACATGTATTTAAAATTAAATAGGGCTGACCTTTATCCAAATAAGTAGCAGTAATAATAAAATAATCCTTTTATTTTGAAGTTTAAATAAAACGATCGATTTATTTTTTTTCTTTTCTTTTCTTGCTCTTTTTCCCGTGAATAATTGAGTATTGGAGCAGGTAAAATTGATGTTGGCTTTCTGACTACTTTATCAACATCGCAAACCTATAGTCATAGCAAGAAAGTCATAGCTAATACTATAGTCAACATATTTATAAAAATCTTCTTTATTTCAGATATTTTTGGATGTTATAGCAAATTGTTGCTATAGAAAACATATATTATAACAGAATATGAAATTTGGTTCCGAAAAAATTTGTCTTTTACAATAAATTAATGTTATATAAGGATGTTGTTCCCCGAAAAGAAGCGGGAAAATAGAATATTTTAACAGTTAAAATAGATATAAGCAAGTCAAAATCACACTTTTTTTCTTCTTCTCGAGATTGAGCTTTCCATCAAATGTCTAAAAATTAGTATGAATTTGAGGCTGATTTTCAAATTTGAACAGGCTTGACTTTTCATTTTTGTTGCTGTAAGAAATTGAACAATTTGCACTTTTTCTTTTCAAAAAAAAATAATCTTTTGGTTCATTCACGCCTTTATTATTAACCAATTGTCCATTTAGGGCGGATCTAGTGTTATAATACCGAGAACATCTAAACCAATTACATTTGATGCATAGCTTAATTTATGTATATAAACACATTAAAATTGTAACAAAGAGTAAATATGAACCTATAAATTAAATTATAACGGTTTCAACGTTAAGAAATTTAAATGTTAGATCCGTAGAGTTCAAATTTTGAATCTGCCTCTATTGCCATTAACATAGCTCCATTAAAATGAGTAAATTTTAGTTGTCTTTTCTTCGAGAAAAAGGTTCAAATAACTCTTTAATATTAATTTGTTTTAAAATCACTCACCTGCACTTAAGCACAAAAATAAGAGTTTTTTCTCCTTACGATGGGGATAGTATTAGAATAAATTTCAAACGGAGGGTAACGTCTTTTTGATTACTAATAGTATAAGGATAAATTTGATTATTTTCCCTTATAATAACTCTTGATATCGGTGACGAATATTTTGTCTAAATTAGAAAATTAGAAGGAAAAATGTATATTGTGTATTTGCTTAAAATTTTGTCTAACTATTCTGAAAAAACATGTCACAGGCTACTCAATGAATTGTTCCTAAAAATGAGTAATATTTTATTTAATGCACTGAAAAATAGAAATATTAAACCGTGCAAGTCTCCGCTTCTACTCACTGATTAAAGTGTGTGTTGGTTTCTAACATGCGCTGAGAATGAGGCACATGATTGCTTGCGCAATATTCGAAGACCGTTCATCATAACTCTGACACCTCATTTTCCATTTTTACCCCTAATACTTTTACTTTTTCATTTTAATAAATCAAGAAATAAATTTTTTCTTCTTCTAATTTTATCCTTATCGTTAAGTATTAACTACTCATTTTTCAGATTATTTTTTAATACCTTTTGAAATGCTATAATTATTATGAGTGAAATTGTAAAATACATATATTTTTTTTAACGAGAGTACAAAATCAAAAATAAACAACTAAAAATGAACGAGGAAGTATTTAATTAAAGTCCAAGTGAAATATAGATTTATTGGTTTTAGAATATGTACTCCAAGTGAATATCTTTTATCTATTCTAATTTTAGTGTCTCTTGCTTACGCTATTCGAAGGGGAGCCTCGGAGCCGGTAAAGTTAACAAAATTGAGGGCCTTGCTCGCTCGCTCTAATGCTCGTTTAGTAGATATCGAGTGAAGTGTATAAGCCCCTTTAGAGATAGGAGTAAGTAGTACACGAGCTCGTAAGAAAGTACGGAACAAGCCTTGTCTACAAAGTAGAGCGATCTCATCTTGCTTGTTTCTGGCGAAGCTTCTCAGCAAGGAGAGTAGAAACTGAGGGAAAAAACTTATATTCTTACGCAAGATGAGAATAAAGGTTACTAAGATCGGAGCTCATTATGACCCAAAAATCAAGTGAATATCGAGTCAGTCATAAATAATTATTGATTGGATAGGCTCGACCAATCCATTCTAACTAGAAAAATCTAAAATTTTGCATTCGCTTGAGTGAATCGGATTGCCTTTCCTTTATGCAATTATTAGTTCCAAGCCGTCTCTTGGATTTTCTCTCTTTCTTAACTTCATTTATGACGTGGTTAAGTACTACCTCAAGCTTTTGTACATTTAATGCATTTTCGTCTCACCAAAACTAAACAAAGAAGAGAAAATTCAAGGACATTCAAACACATTAAAACAATTAATAGGGTTTAGAAATAATTGGTACTACTATATTTCTGGTTGCTCAATAGAGTAAATCAATATCAACAAAAATCAAAATGTAAAAAGGGTAAAGAAATATAGATGTAAAGAATGACAACAAAAAAAGGCAGTCCGGCGCACTAAGTTCCCGCTATGCGCAGGGTCCGGGAAAAGGCCGGACCATAAAGGTCTATTGTAAGCAGTCTTACCCTGCATTTTTGCAAGAGATTGTTTCCACGGTTTGAACCCGTGACCTCATGGTAAAGAATTACAACAACTCAGTAAATCACAAATGGGATCGGGAGAGGATAGAATGTTCACCAAACTTACCCTACCTCTAAGGGGTAGAGAAACTATTTCCGAGAGATCCTCGACCGTAAAGAATTAATAAAAAAAAGAAAAACAAAAAGGATTATCTCAATCACATCGAAGACTAGCTTTACCTAATTTACTTTTTTTTTGGGTCCAATAACAATGATTGCCTGTTTTCAAATAATGTGAAAAGCACTAATAAAAGCAAAGATAATACACTAGTAGAACACAAGTAGTTTTGTTTACAAAGGGAAATATCATTAATCATTAAATTAAAAATAAGAGATCAAGGAATAATCCCATGTTAGCACTTATCCTTCTTCATGAATGAATATATAATTTTCATAGTTGATTAGAAACTCCTAAAATGTTGAGTTTTGTACTGATTGCTAAAGATTCTATAGTGAAGTAAATTTGAAATATCATGAAATCGAATTTCAACTATTTTTCTTTTCAATCGCGTATCAATCAACAACAACAACAATTTTAGTTACTTTGTGATTTTTATGATGATGTTACTATTTTTATGATTTTCGTTAACGATAATGATATATTGTCTCTTCTTATTTTTTTTTCCGTCTTTCTGAGCCGAGGTTTTATCGGAAATAACATGTCTGTCCCATTGAGGTAGGGATAAGATCAGCGTACACACTACCTTCTCCAAACCCCACTTAGTGAAATTTTACCGGATTGTTTTCATTATCGATTCTAAACCCAAATAACAAAGAAAGATTACAGTAAACTGACAAAATTAACCAATTTCGTAATAAATATGTTTATTTTAAAAAAAGTATTAATTATGTGAAATCTCAAAAAAAAAAATGTGGAGAACCATAAGATGGAGAAAAGAGAAATAATAGAGCAAATTGTATTATTATGATAACAAAATGCTGAAAGTTCATCCATCAAAGCCACGCTTGTACAGGCCCACACTTCCTTTAGCCCGCCGCTCCTTCCTATCTCCAATCTATTATCTGCTTCTGCATTTTCTCTTTGATCTTTTTTCTCTTTTATTTCCATAATAAATTTAATCATTTCCTTTCCAAAAATTCTTCTTGTTCAGCTCATAAACTGTCTCTGTTTCTGACACCAAACCTCTCTTTGAACCCAAGTTTTTCCCCATTTTTTAACTAGTAGGTGATACTTAAGAGTAGTTTCCATTAAAGGGGTTGTTACAGATTTAGATTCTTGGATTCACTCTTAAGTTTCATTCTGTTTTCTTTAGTGTTTTTTTCTCTTTTCTCCCTCACTTCTAAAAAAAGACAACTTTATCTTTATTTTTCCAGCTTTTCTTTGTTTGTTTTCATCTCTTATTAAATCCACCGTCTTGAGTCTTTTCTTATTTTTTCTTTCCATTTCTTGATAACCCCATTTCTTTAAAATTTGGACTTTTTGCATTTTGGGTCTTTCTATTTTGGTTGATTCTTGAAGTTCTTGGAAGCTATTGCTTCTGATGGGTTCTTTCAGTTATGGTTTTGTGTAAAAATTAGTGTGTTCCTGAGTGTTGAGAGAATTATTGGAAGAAAGATGAGAACTTTTGCTTTCTTATCAGTTTTAACAGTGTTCTTGAGTGTTGAGAGAATTATGATCTGTGATGCTTTTCCATCACATGAAGGTGTGTATTATTAATTCAAGCTTAGATCTTGATGTACTTAAGTTCTGTAGTTGCAATAATTTGTCTTTTTGATTGTTGTAAGTGTTAGTTGTAGGATTAACAATAATGCAGGGTGTTATGTAGTGTTGTTTAGGAAAGATCTTGTATTTGTTGTGTTGATATAGTTTGTTCTAATTCTAAGATTATGTAGTTTATTGGAGTGAATCTGATTGGGCACTCTTTGTTGATACAGTTTATGCTCTCAATACATTCAAGGAAGCTATATATGAAGACCCTCTTCTGGTTTTGTCAAATTGGAATGCCTTAGATTCAGATCCTTGTGATTGGGCTGGAATCTTTTGTTCTATGGCTCAAGATCATGTCATAAAAATGTGAGCTAGTCTCTTCCATTTATGTGCTATACATTGAAGTATTATTTGGAAGGTGAGCTTTGGGTAACCGGTAAAGTTGCCTCCATGTGACCAGGAGGCACCGGTTCGAGCCGTGTAAACAGCATCTTGCAGAAATGTAGGGTAAGGCTGCATACAGTAGACCTTTGTGGTCCGGCACTTCCTTGGACCCCGTGCATAGCAACAGCTTAGTGTATCGAGCGGGCTGTTCTTTTTACATTGAAGTATTATTTGGTTATTGATTTTTTCTCAACTAAAAATGATTTATGGGCTCAAGTTAAACTCTAATTCGCGTTTACACTACTTCGTGGAACCATAATTTGCAGTAACATTTCTGGTGCTTCATTGAAGGGTTTTCTTTCACCCAACTTGCATCAGCTCGCTTCTTTGCAAGAACTGTAAGTTATTTCCTGATAGACTGTACTTATAAGTGTAATATAGTTCAGGTCGTAATTTATGTTATGCATTGGCGATATGCAGAATTTTGCATGGAAATGTACTGATTGGTACAATACCTAAGGAGATTGGCTTGTTGAAAAACCTAAAGGTCTTGGATTTGGGTGCTAACCAGCTAACAGGACCAATTCCTCGTGAGCTTGGCAATCTGACAAACCTTATGAAAATGTTAGTCTAATGCGAATCTTTGTTGGTTTATTTGTACTTTAAGACTTTTCTTATCTTCCTTGAAGCTCCCTTATTTTTCTAGCTTGTATGTGTCTCTGCAGAAACCTACAATCCAATGGATTAACAGGAAAATTGCCTGCTGAGCTTGGTAATTTGAAATACCTTGAGGAACTTCGGCTGGACAGGAACAAACTTCAAGGAACAGTGCCCGCTAATAATGGATCAGATTTTACATCCGGTGTACATGGAATGTAAGTGGATTATGCACTACGTCTTGTACTTTTTTTGTTTTTCTTTTAACTTTCTGGTATGTGGATAAGGAGTAATACATGATTCTCTGTTTATCTACAAGATATTCCTTTATTCCTTAATGTTGACCATAGTGAGCGATGTTACAGAAATCAGAATGTATGTTTCAAAAGTTTAAGGATGATGTTTTTGGAAATGATCTGTTTTTTTTTATGTTGCCTTATATTCGTTGCATGTGTTTTTACTTAACGCTGTTTTTTTACTTTCTGTAACTTCTTTTTAGGTATGCTTCTGGTGCCAGCCCTACTGGATTTTGTCGTTCATCCCAACTTAAAGTTGCTGATTTCTCATTCAACTTTCTCATCGGAAGCATACCAAAGTGCTTGGGTTACCTTCCAAAGTCAGTTCGTAATTCTTCACCTATCTTCTCTGTTCCTGAATGCTTGTTATTTTCATTGCTGTAGATCTAGATTCAATGAAATTGTCCCTAGAGCAAATATCCAAAGCATCGCTCTGATGCTCTATAACTGTTGTTTTCTATTGCCTTTTATAATTTCTGAATGCCTGTTATTTTGTTTTGACATAGATCTAGCTTTCAAGGAAATTGCCTTCAGCATAAAGATCCAAAGCAGCGCTCTGCTTCTCTATGTGGTAAGTAATGCTGCTCGAGCATTTCTCTCTTGTGCCAGTAAACAATCTCTGGTTACAATTTTCCACAGAATGAATTGTTTGTGCAGCTGTCAGTCGGGAAGGATTGATATCTCTAACTTATTTGAGAGACCTGAACATTTTAAGTTTCACTTTTTTCCTTAACAGTTAGCAGTCAACTAGATTTATTGTAATAAGACTGAACTGGTTGTTTTAATATCGCGTTATAGGTGGCACTCCACCTCCCACTAGCCATGCGTCAACAGTCAATACTAAGCACCCTTCTGTTGAAGGACCGAGACATCAGGCTTCTTCTTCCAAGCCCACCTGGCTTTTGGCTTTAGAAGTGGTAACGGGAGTTATGGTTGGTTCTCTCTTCATCGTGGCTCTTGTGACTGGCCTTCACAAGTGTAAGAACAAATCCTCTATCATACCTTGGAAAAAATCAGGAAGCGGGAAAGATAATATGACCATTTACGTAGGTTAGTTCCATGCACTTGAACTGGCTACTTCGTAAAAAGTATCTTTCTCATATGGGACGCTTTACTGTTCATGCTTTATATTTATGACTCATGTTTCTTTGTAGATACTAGTATGCTGAAAGATGTCGTAAGATACAGCAGACAAGAACTTGAGGTAGCTTGTGAGGATTTCAGCAACATCATTGGATCCTCGCCAGACAGCTTAGTTTACAAAGGAACCATGAAAGGTGGACCCGAGATAGCTGTAATATCGCTTTGTGTCAAAGAAGAGCATTGGACAGCCTATCTAGAGCTTTATTTTCAGAAAGAGGTGGAACTCATTCTTTCTTCATCTTACGTGGCTACTGGCTGCATTGTAAGTTCCATGCTCTAACTTCTGTAACTTCACCGTAGGTGGCAGAATTGGCCAGAATAAATCACGAGAACACTGGGAAACTTCTAGGCTATTGCAGAGAGAGTAGTCCTTTCACGAGGATGTTGGTGTTTGAGTATGCATCCAATGGGACATTATACGAACACCTTCACTGTGAGTAAAATAAGTTGGTTTTCACGTCCACTTCAGTATGGTTCGAGGCGAGAACTAACTCTTTGAAATTGTCACAGACGGAGAAGGATGCAACCTATCTTGGACACGCCGGATGAAAATAGTTATTGGTATCGCTAAGGGACTGACATATCTACATTCAGAACTTGACCCTCCATTTACTATATCAGAACTGAACTCAAATTCTATATATCTCACAGAAGATTTTTCTCCAAAGGTAAACGAAAGATCATTATCTATCATTGACGTATAAAACAGTGCTAATCATCTGTTCGGTTTATCTCTTAACTATTACTGAGTACTTGATACACAATTGTTTCCCATTCCATACTAATGCACTATTGTTCCCATTCCATACTTTGTCTTCTCAAATTTTTTATTTTATTTGTCAGCTTGTTGATTTTGAAAGTTGGAAGTCAATAATTTCAAGATCAGAAAAGAACTCGGGTGCTATCAGTAGTGAAGGAGCAATATGTGTCCTTCCAAATACTCTAGAGGGCCGTCATCTCGACGTCCAGGGTAATACTTATGCATTTGGAGTACTGCTACTGGAAATAATCAGTGGGAGACCTCCATATTGCAAAGACAAAGGGTGCTTAGTAGATTGGGTAAGCATTTGTTTTCGTGCCAATGATTTTTATCTGCGATAGACTTTTCAGGCAGAGGACCTGAATTCGACTTTTTATGTGGCAGGCTAAGGAATTTCTTGAAGTACCAGAGGTATTATCCTATGTTGTAGATCCCGAGTTGAAACATTTCAAACAAGAAGACCTCAAAGTGATTTGTGAGGTGATTAACCTTTGTATCCACCCGAGTTCGAGCAGGAGGACTTCCATGAAGGACTTGTGTGCTATGTTAGAGAGCAACATTGACACTTCAATCACTGCAGAGCTCAAGGCATCTTCTTTGGCGTGGGCCGAGCTTGCACTTTCATCCTAACTGACAGAAGGTTAACAGTATATATATCACGAAATATGTAATCATCTAGCACTTCCCCTTATTCTCCTTTTTTTCTACCCTTTTATTTTTGATCTCTCGATCTCGTTCCCAATCTTCTGGTGTTGTGGTTGAGTTCATGTAAATTTTGAGTCTCTAGGAAAAGTAGAGTTGAAGAGATGCTACTGTTGATTCTTTGTAAACAACTGGTTCTTTACTAAAATGATGAGTGTTGATAGTAAATGAAAGGCATGTTGGCTAGATTCAAAGTGTTACTTCTTCAGCTTTCTGTATTATTGAGCAATAAGTTCTTTGTCGTGTATAAAACACCATACAAATTACGTTTTGAACCTTGATCTAAATATTACTTAAAATTCATAACATAGCTTGAACTCATTGTAGTGTATATATATAGAATTATTTGGCGAGCGAATAGAATTATTTTTGGTCGACCGATCAAATGTGCAACTTGCACTTTAATCTACCAAAAAGACAAGGGATTTTTACATACCTATAAACTATTGGAACGTTATTATCCTCCCTACTCAAGTTTTAATTTAATTACATCCTATATACAAATTTACCAATTATATACACTTTAGGAATTAAATGAGGATCCATTTATATTAGGAATCAATTATTTCTCATCCTTATTCTCTCTCTCTCTCCTAGGCTCTCTCTTTCTCTGTGTCTCTCTCGATCTCTCAATCCCTAATTCCAGTAATGTAGAGCAAAAGAAAAGAGAGCAGCAATTCCATCATTGACAACCATTAAAAAGATTTGAATCTTTGAATTCGAATTTAGGTTTTCAAAAAATATTATTTGTTTGAATTGGGTGTTGCAAACAATTGGGAATGCTCTCTACGTCTCTCTCTATCTCTCAATCCCTAATTCCAGTAGTGTAAACCAAAGGAAAAGAGAGCAGCAACTTCCACCATTGACAACCATTAAAAGCTTTGAATTCGAATTTGGATTTTCAAAAATCATTATTTGTTTGGATTAGGTGTTGTTGCAAACAATTGGGAATATGGTTTGGAGTTTATATCTCAATTTTGAGGGTGTTTTGGTGAAGATTAGACTTGATTTTGGCTGAATTTCAGATTGAAGCTCGAAGAAGAAGAAGAAGAAGACATGACATACTCACATACATTATACTTACGAAATTGTAGTACTAAAATTGTAGAAAAAATGTATTCTATTGTTTATATATATTTTTTATTTAAATATTGTATGAAAGTTGAATAATATTTATATAAAAATTGTATTTAAGTTGTATTATATTGTAGTTATATATAACTGGGTAGAAATAATGTACGAAAGTTGTAGATAGGTTGTATAATATATAATTAATTGTATGAAATTTGCTTTTACTATGTATAAATCAGATACAAAATATACAAAAGACATATTGTATAAAATTTGTATAAAAATTATATTTACGTGGTATAATATTGTATTTGTATATAACTGGGTAGAACTAATGTATGAAAGTTGTAGATAAGTTGTATAATATATAATTAATTGTATGAAATTTGCTTTTACTATGTATAAATCAGATACAAAATATACAAAAGACATATTGTATAAAATTTGTATAAAAATTATATTTACGTGGTATAATATTGTATTTGTATATAACTGGGTAGAACTAATGTATGAAAGTTGTAGATAAGTTGTATAATATATAATTATTATGTATATATTATACTTTTATACTTTCATTTTTTCCATTAACTTCAACCAAATATTGTCCAAATGCCTAGTAATGTGTATTTCAGGTGTTGGATGGGCAGAAGGTGGTTCCATCGAGGGCCAAGGAGTTGGATTTTCCATTCAAATACCGATATATCAAAGACGCTCTGAAAGCAATCATGTTCAATTGTTCATCGAGGGCCAATGAGTTGGGTTTTCCATTCGACTGTAGTATTTGTTTTTCTCGATCTTCAATTGTTCTTGATATGCAAAATATCCTACTAAACGATCAATTTTAAATTTGAGTCGCATGTTTTCATGTGTTTTGGAATTAAAAATAACAATTCATCTGAAATGACTCGTCCCTGAGGATTCTTCAACAAAGGGAATATCAGACAGACAATGCTATAAGTAACAGACTAGTAAACAATTTTTCGTTTACTCCTATCAGAGAATATTTTGTCAACAAAAATGCTATGAAAAATAATACTACAGTTTTTGGCGCAAAAAAGTTATAAAACACATATGAGGGATTAGATTCCCTAAATTCCTAAATATAAGTTCAATCTGATAAGAAGAGGGGAGAGAGGAGAGAAAAAGGAAAAGGGTGTAACTAAATCCCTTGATTGAAGGCACAAATAATAGATTAAGAGTCTTTTAAGGTAGATTGTATATATTTTATAATTAAAATGTAATTAGGTCGGGCAAATACCAAAACATGAACATTTTTCGTAATAAGGTTTCAAATAATGTATAAGAATAAAAAAATTCCAAAAGACAAAAGGCTCAAAGGCCTATCTCAAACGCCATATGACCGTCCAACCCAAGCCCAAAATCAATAACCATAGACTCTGGCCCCATCTTCTTTTTAAAAATAAAAGAGATTTTTTCATTTCTATACACTATTTAAAATTTTATTATCCTTAATGTCCATGTTTAGTTAATTACCTGACATAAATAAATTTTGTTTACAAAATATTTACAATCCACCTTAAAAGGTTCCCAATCCGTTATTTGTGATTTCAATCAAGGAATTTGGTTCGTCCATCCTTTGTTTTCAAAATAGTTTGCCTGGTCCCCAGTAGAAACCTGCCAAAGCATGATATTCCACAATTGTTCCACTAATAAGCACAAATCTTTCACTCAATGCACAAAACACATGACATTGAAGTAAACAATTATCATAAAAGGACGATATCCCATCATTGTTCAACAAAACTAAGAAAAAAACTCTTAAGCGTAAAGCACAACACCACCAGGCTGTGCATGATGGTATCTCATTACTGTTAAATGAAATTAAGTACAAACCTTAAACTCAATGCACACTGCCATGAGGCTATCAACGATGCATAGATGATTTGCCATCACTGTTTGACTATAGTTAGTACATTATGTTTTGTACAAATATCATACCATTAAATACAATTTTTATACAAATACAAATTTTATATATAAATTTTAAATACAAATTTTATATAAAATTTATACAATGTCTTTCGTATATTTTGTATATGATTTACACATAGTAAAAATAAATTTCATACAATTAATTATATATTGTACAACTTAGCTATAACTTATCTATAATTTTCTTACATTATTTCTACTGAGTTATATACAACTTAAATATAATTTTTATACAATATTGTTCAACTTTCATACAATAATTAAGTAATATATATATATAATACAATTTTCTACAATTTCGTAAATATAATGTATATCATGTCTTCTTCTTCTTCTTCTTCTTCTTCGAGTTTCAATATGAAATTCAGCCAAAATCAAGTCTAACTGTGATGACCTTTTGATTTACGAGTAAATTCTGTGTTCCGAGGACTTAGAAGCATCCTTTTTTCTTACCTCGATTTGCGTGCACGTTCCGAGCATATATCCGGAATGCTTTTATGTGGAAATGAGATGAAAATGTTAATTTGGCATTTAAAATTAAATTTATGTTGACTTCGGTCAACATTTTGGGTAAACAGACCCAGACCTTTGATTTGATTGTCCCGGAGGGTCCGTAGGAAAATATGGGACTTTGGCCTATGCCCGGAATCGAATTCCGAGTTACCAAGCCCGAGAAATGAATTTTTGAAATAAATTGTTTTACTGAAAATATAAGAGTTTTTGGAAATTTGATTATATTTGAAATTTTTGGTATCGGGCCCTTATTTTGGTTCCGGAGCCCGGTACAGGTTCAATATGATGTTTGAGTTGTGTCTGTAAAATTTGGTAAGAAACGGAGGTCGTTTGATGTGATTCGGACCCGTATTTGTGAAAATTGAAACTTTGAAAGTTTTGAGATTTTTCTTAGATTTCTATGCTAAATTTGTTGTTTAAGATGTTAATTGGTGATTTGATCGCACGAGTAAGTCTTTAGGATGTTTTTGAGGTAGTGTACATGTTTGGTTTGGAGCTCCGAGGGCTCGGGTGAGTTTCGGATAGGCGTCTGAGTGTTTTTGGACTTAGAAAATCTGGTGTTTTTGTTGTTTGCTGATGTCCAGGTTTTTGTGTTCTGCGATCGCATGGGTAGGTTCACGATCGCATAGTGTAGTCTCAGGGGGCCCTATTTGTGTGCTGTGCGAATGCATCATTAATTGTGCGATCACGAAGCTTCGTCTCGGTAAGCTGTGCAAACGCACTCCCTTCTATGTGAACGCGTATCATTAAAACAGGCCTGGAGGAGGGGAGGGCTAGTACCCTATGCGATTGCACCTCCCCCCACGCGAACGCATTGCCCAGTTTCCCTTACCCTATGCGAACGCATGCTTCTGAGTGCGAACGCATGCTTCTGAGTGCGAACGCATAGGTCTGTTGCCCAGTTAATATAAATACCTTTTTTTAAAACGAGCAGACCTTCTTCTTCACCATATTTTCGAGGATTACAGCACTAAGAACGATTTTCTTCAACAATTATCATCCCCAAATCATAGGTAATCAAATCTAAAATTTGTTCTTTCAATTCCTTACTGTTTTCCATCACTTTTAAAGCAAAAACTAAGAATTTTTATGGTAAAAATTGAGAGTTTGGGTAGAGTTAAAACTTTTTGAATAATTGAAATTTAGACCTCGTTTTGGGGTCAGATTCTGAAACTAATTACATATTCGGGCTCGTGGGTGAATGGATGATCGGGTTTTGGTCTGAACCTCGTGTTTTGACCAAGCGGACCCGGAATCTATTTTTGACTTTTTGGGGAAAATGATAGAAAACCTATAATTAATCATTGGGTATGAATTCTTTAGCATTTATTGATGTTGTTAAATTAATTTGGACTAGATACAAGTAATTTGGAGTCGAATTCTAAAGGAAAAGCAATGTTTGAGGCTTGAGTTGGCCGTGGAAGTTTGAGGTAAGTGTTTGGTCTAACCTTAGCTTGAGGGATTAGGAGTTGCGTACTATTTGATATGTGTTATTTGTTGAGTACGACGTATAGGCATGATGACGAGTATATATATGTTGGTGTCAAGCATGCCCGTGAGTCTTATACTATGATTATTGTGATTCCGTTGTATTGTTCATGCCTTACGTGATGATTTCTATTGTTGAGCAAAGCTTGTGGAAGTAATATTGGTATTTGAATAT